CATGGAGGAGCTAGAAATTATGTGCATAATAATGACTTATCTGTCATTTTAGTTACTTTAGTGCCAACTGGTCATTGAAGACAGAACTCACATTAGTTGCTCAATAAATATTGTTGGTTGCCCTTATCTCTTGCCAGTTTTTGTCTATGCTGGTATAAGATGTAGATACAAGGAAAGAAAACCAGTGATTTATTTTTATGCGTTTAGGAGAGAAGATATGACAAGAAGGTCTAGCATACCAAAAAAATGAGCGATCACATCTTTTTTTCCCAGGAAGTCTGTACGTGTGGTACAGAACAATTATGATCAGGCAAGTTTTCAAACCACATAAATCAATCTGCCACTCCCAAGAGATAGAATATGTGAGGGCAAAGGGGCAAGAATGGAGTGCGGGCTAGTCTCCATCTTTAAATGAGAGTCCACGCTGTCAAAAGAATTAGCTTTCTATTGTTGCCGTGTGTCTTCACCATCCCCATCAAATACCAAATATAGGCTACTAAATAAATGCTTGTCATTTTCAATAGGTAATTCACATAGGATTTCATTTCTGTGATTCCATGGAAAACTAAATAAGATTGTTTTACAGTATTTCTTCTATAACCACTCATACAGATACTGCTTCTTAATTACAATGTGTCTCTCACCTAGAATTCCAGTAGGTCAAGTTATGGACCTGGGATCAAGAAGTTAGGTTTCTTTCCTGTAAGGGAAGTACATGTTGGATGGAGAAATTTCTCACAGAGTGAGTTATTTTGAATACTGTCATTAATTAGAATAACAATGATCACCCATATCTCCTTGCAAGTAGGGAAGCAGGCTTCCTGGCACTCTGAGTTTGATATTACTTTGTCACCATTGTTTTAGATGAATTGCCAGATAAGCTCTCACTGGAATGTTTTGCAGGAGGCTATCTCTGTGTGCTGTGTTTTTTACACACTTGGCAGAGAGCCATATTAGTGGCCAAAAGGGGAAGAGATGAAAGCACCGGATGATCGTGTTCAAACTTTTTTCTCAGAATGTGCCTCAGCCTGATCCTGGATGCATGGCCAGTGGTCATAGCTGCAAGTGCTGATTTTCCTGGGTGCCTTTGGGAAGTACTGTCACCCAATACTAGGAGGGGAGATTCGTATGCCACCAGTTCTGCAGAACTCAACAGTGTAAATGTCCCTGGTGTCACTAGTGACTCACTAGAGTCATCTGGATAGGGTAAAAATAGGGTTGCAATAATGGAGATGTGTATTTCTCTAATTCTGCCCACTTCCAGCAACCCCTCTACCCCCCATTCTGTGGAAATCTTATCTCTATATTTCTCCTTATTCATTCAGGAAGTTCCCATGTGTATCTCCGGATGGTCATGATGAAGATTTTTTTTTCAACTTGTCACATTGTGCCTACCAGTTTTTCTCCTTTCCTGTTCTGGTTGTCTAATATTAATATCATGGAAGCTGTTGTGGAGGATTGATTATATTGAAGACACCATTTCATGGCCTCTCTGCCCTTTGACCTGTAACATTGTAGGCTCCTCCCACTCTGCCTGTGGGGGGACTTGGCTGAGTGTCTTGCTTTGGCCAGTGGGGCTTGTGAAAACGCTTGAATGCTTTTTTTTCTGGTTCCTCTGCCTTTGCCATAAGAACATGCCCAGACTAGTCTCCTGGAGGATTAGAGACCTTGAGGGACAAAGGCAGCTCATCTCAGCTAAGGCCATTCTGGGGTCCCCCTCAGACTGCAGAATGCAGATTGCTTGAGCGATCCCAGCTAAGATCAGCCAAGTCTGGCCCATACCAGCAGAACTATTCAGTCAACTCACAGACTATTCAGTGAAATAAATGCTAATCATTTTAAGCCACTGGAGTTTGTGGTTGTTTGTTATGCAACATTATTGCAGCAATAGATAACGGATATACCTGCCTGTGCCATGAATCCCTTTGAATCAGACGCACATTTGTTTCTCTTTCCACTTTTGTGGCTCTGGCTCATAGCTCAGGTTACTGTTTGCTTTCTGAGTTCCTGCAGTCACAAGTGGGAACCATAGGCTTCAGTCTCTCCTTCCACACACTGCTCCATGTACCCTCATTGCTGTGTTATCTAGGAATCTGTTTTTAAAAACAGGAACTACCTTAAAAATAAAAATATAGAGAATCCTATGTTATACATCAGTTCTGTATTCTTATCACCCAGATTTTCCATATTATTTATTTTTGACTTTGCCATTTGTACCGGTTTCCTAGGGCTGCTGCTTCAAAGTACCACGAAATAAATAGGTGACTTGACACAGTAGAAGTTTATTATCACATATTTTGGAAGTTAGAAGTTTGAAATCAAAGTGTTAGCAAAGCTATGCTTGCTTGCTTGCTTGCTCTTTCTCTCTCTCCCTCTCTCTCTCTCTCTCTCTGAGGCAGGGTCTGGCTCTGTCACCCAGTCTGGAGTGCAGTGGCAAGATCTCAGCTCACTGCAGTCTCTGGCTCCCAGGCTCAAGCAATCCTCCCACCTCTACTCCCAAGTACCTGGGACTACAGGTGCACACCACCATGCCTGGCTAACTATTTTATTTTATTTTGGTAGAGACAGGGTTTTATCACATTGCCCAGGCTGGTGCCTAACTCCTGAGCTCAAGTGATCCTTTTGGCTTGGCCTCCCGAAGTGCCAGCATTATAGGTGTGTGCCATCGCACCCAACAACACTGTGTTTTCTTGAATGTGCTAGAGGAGAGTCTGTTTGTTTCTCTTTGTTTCTGGTGTTGCTGGCAATTCTTGACATTAATTCCAGTCTCTGACTCCATCATCATAGGGCATTTTCTCCTTCTGTCTTCATGATCACATAAGGACTCTAGTCATATTGGATTAAGACTGCTCTAGAATGACTTTGTTTTAACTGATTACAGATGCAATACTTATTTCCAAATAAGGTCACATTCTGAGGAACTGGGGTTAGGACTTCACATTTCTTTTGGGGGAACACATTTCAACCCATAACACCACTACTTTACTAATATTTTAGCTTTTTGCATCTATTTATTTTTTTTATAAGTAAGCATTGTCAGTATTTGTCTGGTTCTTGTCTGGTTTTTGTATCAAGTTGTTTAGCCTAATAAAAATGATTTGAGAAATTTACCTTTTTTACTATTTTCTGAAAGTTTGCATTAAATAGGGATAATCTGTAACATAAAAGTTTTGTCATATTCATCTGCAAAGCAATTAATGGCTACTGGTTTCTTCAGCTTTTCAGTTTCTTCCAGAGTCAATTTTTATAATTTATATACTGCTGAGAGAATTTATTGACATAAAGTTTGTATAGAGCACCCTTGACATAAGTAACCCTATCTTAGAAAAAGACTCTCTCTTACATTTCATAAGGCACTTTGCCAACAGGGACCAGATGTTTTGTGCGATCAATAAAGACTGCCTCCAACCAGACAATGACATAACCAAGCACACTCTTCCACTATTAGTCCTCACTCCAGAGGCCTCTGTGGCCATGAAAAGAGCAGGACTACAGCAGCTTGAAATGGCTGTCTTAACAGGCTGTCACTCAATATAAGCATCCAGTGTCTGACCTGCCTGGACCCTCGTAACTTGAACCCCAAGGCGCGATCGATTTAGACCAGATGAAAGAGGAGTTCAGGCTTTATTGGAGAGTCTCCGGGCGGACCGGACTCGTGACAGAGGAGAGTCAGCAGTCTCGCACCGGCTTTCTTGGTCTTGCGGTTTTTATAGGGGTAGTGGAGCTGAGGGAGTGGGAGAGCTGAGGTGGTGGGTAGCGATTGGTCAGTTTAAATCTGCTGGGCGGGAAGTTTGCCGGCGGGAGCTTGTTGGGCGGGAAGTTACTGGAGAGCTGAGGGGGCGGATGGTGATTGGTTCAGTCGGTTGTCGGGCGGGAAATTGGGGGAGAGGTGATGGGGCTGGTGGTGATTGGCTAGGGGGGTTGCTGGGCGGAAGGCAGTTGGAATTGCGCCAGCTGGGGCTGTTTGTGCTTAGCCGGGAAGCTGGGCGGGGCAAGATAAGGGACCTTCCATATGAGGGAAGCTAAGTACCGTCCAGGTGGCTGGGCCCAGAGCGGGGGTTAGGGGGGCCCCAGGGTCCTCCACCAGACACCCAGCATCTGCCTACGAAGGCTGTACCCACACCAAAGACTCTTCCTTGCCGGGAGAACAGACAACTTGGGCCAGACCAGAATAATTTTTTTTTGTTTACATCCCTCTCCCTGGGATGGTTCATTAACCCCACCCTGAATAGGGATTTTTATGGTTTCCCTCATTGAATAGCTTGGGTCTCCAGTTCACTATCGGGCCTTATACTGATGACTTAGAGCTCATGTTCTATTGTGATATGAAGGATGTTACAAATGCAGTCTTTCCGGAGTGACCTCAAGATCCACCCACACATTTGGTGATTTTTTTAGAAAGCCTCATGGGACTCAGCATATCGTTATACTCAGGGCTAAGGTGTATTACTGCCAAAGGATACAGGACAGGATGAGCAAGGGCCAAAGAAACAGGATAAGTCTGGAGTAATTCGTGCACAAACCTTTTTATACCCTCTTATTCCACAAGGAGACACACATGTTTCTTTCTCCAGCAGTAAAAAAATGCAGAAAGATGTGGGCAATATTTCTGCCCCGGGAAGCCCTTTAGAGACTCAGTATTTGTATGAGATTCCTAAGGCTGTGTATCAGTCCATTTTCACATTGCTATATAGATACTACCTGATACTGTAATTTATAAATAATAAAGGTTTAATCAACTAATAGTTTTGCATGGCTGGGGAGGCCTCAGGAAACTTGCATGGCTAGGGAGGCCTCAGGAAAGGCAAAGGAGAAGCAAGCACCTTCTTCACAAGGCAACAGAAGAGAGAGGTGACAGGATGCAGGGGAAATGCCAAGTACTTGTCGAACAACCAGATCTCAGGAGAACTCAGTGACTATCCTGAGAACAGCATGGGGGAAACCACCCCATGGTTCAATCACCTCCCACCAAATCTCTCCCTCAACATGTGGGGATTACAATTTGAGGTAAGATTGGGTGAGGACACACAGACAAACTATAACAGGCTTCCATAACAAATAATCATAAACTTGATGGCATAAAACAACAGAAATCTATTCTCTCACAGTTCCAGAGGCCAGAAGTCTGAATTTAAGGTGTTGACTATTGATTACTTGTGGAGGATATGAGGGGGAAGCCATTCTATGCCTCTCTCCTAGCTTCTGGTGGCTGCCAGCATTCCTCAGTTTTCATTGGCTTGTTGACACATCACTCCATTTCCTGTATCCATCTTTATAAGGTCTTTATGATGTTCTCTTTGTTTCAATTATCTGCCTATCTCTTATAGTAATACCCATCATTAGATTTAGGGTCCACCTTAAATCTGGGGTAATCTCATCTCAAAATACATTTGCAAATAGCATTTTTCCAAATAAATCACATTTACAGGTTGTGGGGGTTGGAATTTGGACATGAATTTGAGGGACCACTATTCAATCTACTATAGTATCAAAGGGTTTTACTGGGAGCTGATCACAAAGGCACCCTCTGCCTTAGAATGTACTAAAATTCCAAACTCTGAGAGAAAAAGCGTGGGTGTTCAGTATAAATTATGCTGTTTATATAAATAGTCTAGGCACAGGGAGCCTCCCTTATTAGTCAGGGAATTGTTTGAGTGTCAAGTCACAGATGCCAGCTAACGACCAATCTTGCCAGTAGGCCTTTCTAAAAATAGAAGCCTCAGGCCTGTCATATTAGCTTGTTTCTCTTTACCCTTACCCAGGGCATTTCTACAGCAAAATTATTATAAGGACTCCACAGTGCAGTGACCGACCTGCAGTATTAGCTTCAGTCATGTCCTCCAGGGGTTCTCAATTCACTAGTTAACCATAATCCTGTTAAATATAAACATCTGTATTAGAAAGCCTAGTGGCTTCCACAAGAGATGTGTCCTCCCTCAACTTTCAGCTTTTGGCAGGAACCACAAGTTATGAGTGCAATTAGTGCCAGTATTATAGAGCCAGCTAGCAGCTCAGTTTAAGCTATTTTCATTAGAGAATAAACCGTTTTCCATGGCCATCTGTATGTAACCCCTGTAGGCCATCCAGCATACATGATGTTTTTACAGTTTTTTGCCCCACTGAAGGGTGCTCTAAATCTTCAACCATCCCAGAATTTAAGTCCTGCTCATTGAGCAGAGAGATGTCATCTGAGTTCAGTTTGACACAGTGAGTGCTAAAGTTGAAACAGCCCAGACACAGCATATAGTATCAGGTTTCACTTTAGAGTTGGAACCAGACAAGTAGAATCTTGAATTCATGATTCCCCAAATGTCAGTAACTTTTCTTCTATAGTAGGAAGACCCTGCAGGGTCATAAATCTGCATACAAAGTCCTAAGATCCTTTTTTAAAAACTGATTTGAGTCCAAATTGACCCACTCTATGCATATTAGGCTGGAAAATCATCAGCCATTTCATTTCAACAACAGCTCATTAGCAAACTAAAACAGCTTTCAAAACTACAAAAGTATATTTCCATCTGGAGATTGCCTTTGTTTTCATTTTTTCTTGCTTTTTTCAGAGGCTCCAATGGGCAAAACCATAGCAAAAATCATCAGTTATGGAGATTTGTTCTGTTTCTGATACTCAAAGTATTTAAATTTCAATTTACCTACCCGTGCATGGCAAAAAGCTAGGGATCTGTGCACCATGAATATTTTTTCTTTGCAGCTTTCCCTGATCAGAATAATCACCCTATAACTTTTATGAAATTATGGGCAGAAGATATTTTTTAAACCAATTGTATATAGATGAAATAGCCACAAAATACAAGGCCATTAAAAAAAATCTTTTTTTTTTAAATGGCAAAGTTTACTCCCAGCCCTTTCAGTGAATTCAGCATTTATAGAGGAAAAATCAGTGACTAGGAGATTCCAGCTGAAACACAAGATGTTGGGGTACTGCAGTTTCGGCTTGAGAAAGGGCTTCAGTGTTTCTCTCTCTCTTTTTTTTTTTTTGAGGAGAGAGCAACTAAGTTAATTTTTATTGTTGTTGACCCATTCAGAGCTCATCTGAGGGACTACTTGGGCCTTTTTAACTTTCCCTTGTAAGAGAGCACAAAAAAAGTCACAGTGGGGACTTCTCTATTTTCTTCCTTTTAGTTAGCATGGACAAAAGAAGCCAGTGGATCCAATGAGCCAACTCTCCTGGGCTTGAATCTATCATTTTCAAATCCATAGGTAACTTTTAGCTCTCACAAAAGATAGCATCTCAGCTGCTCTTTTGTCCCGTGGGCAATGACATAATCACCTAAGTACCAAGACTCCTTCATTTTCTGCCCTTTTCTCCAAAACCACACTGTAGCCATATTCCAGTTGGAGTTGTTCTGATAAATCCCATAGCCACTACAGTTTTAATGACCCTCAAGGTCACACACATTCGGAGGTTCTTTAGTGGCACTTATGCAACTCAGCATGTAGTTGGGACTCATGGCTCAGGTTTGTTATAGTGAAAATATGACAGGATCATCATGGGAAAAAGACACAAGTGGATTCTGGAGAAATGCATGCACAGACTTCCTCATACTCTTTTCCTCCAATAAGGAAACACACCAAATGAGTGGGTGTTCATTTTTTTTCCAGCAGCAAAAACTACAAATATGCATATAATATTTCTGTCCAGGGGAGCCTAGAGGATCAGAGTTCAAAACTTTTTTAGAAGGTGGATGATAAGAAACTTCTGGGAGTTGAAGGAACTTGTTCTAACCCAATGCAAAGAAACTAAGAACTTTGAAAAAGGGTTTGATGAAATGCTAACAAGAATAGATAACATAGAGAGGAATATAAGTGAATTAACGGAGTTGAAAAATACAACATGAGAACTTCGTGAAGTATACACAAGTTTTAACAGCCGAATTGATCAAGCAGAAGAAAGGATATCAGAGGTTGAAGACCAACTTAATGAAATAAAACAAGAAGATAAGAATAGAGTAAAAAGGATAAAAAGGAATGAGCAAAGTCTCCAAGAAATATGGGACTATGTGAAAAGACCTAATCTACGTTTGATAGGTGTACGTGAATGCGACGAAGAGAATGAATCCAAGCTGGAAAATACTCTTCAGGATATTATCCAGGAAAACTTTCCCAACCTAGCAAGGAAGGACAATATTCCACTCCAGGTAATACAGAGAACACCACAAAGATATTCCTCAAGAAGAGCAACCCCAAGGCACATAATCGTTAGATTCACCAGGGTTGAAATGAAAGAGAAAATACTAAGGGCAGCCAGAGAGAAAGGTCAGGTTACCCACAAAGGGAAGCCTATCAGACTCACAGCAGATCTCTCAGCAGAAACCCTACAAGCCAGAAGAGAGTGGGGGCCAATATTCAACATCCTTAAAGAAAAGAACTTTCAAGCCAGAATTTCACATCCAGCCAAACTAAGCTTTACAGTCGAAGGAAAAATAAAATCTTTTGTGAATAAGCAGGTACTCAGAGATTTCATTACCACCAGGCCTGCTTTACAAGAGCTTCTGAAAGAAGCATTACACATAGACAGGAACAACCAGTATTAGCCTTTCTAAAAATATACCAAAAAGTAAAGAGTATCAACATAATGAAAAATTTATATCAACTCATGTGCAAAATAGCCAGCTAACATCAAATGGTAATAATCTTAAATTTAAATTGACTAAATCCCCCAGTCAAAAGATTCAGCCAAAACCCATCGGTATGCTGCATCCAGACCCATCTTACATCCAAGGATACATGAAGAGTCAAAACAAAGGGATGGAGAAAGGTTTGTCAACCAAATGGAGAACAAAAATAAGTAAATAAAAAGTAGAGGTTGCAATTCTCATCTCTGATGGAATGGATTTTAAAGCAACAAAGATCAAAAGAGGACATAATGGTAAAAGGATCCATGCAACAAGAAGAGCTGATGATCCTGGATGTGTAGGCACCCAATATAGGATACATAAGACTTGTAAAGAGACTTGGACTCCCACATAGTAATAGTGGGAGATTTCAACATCAATATTAGATAGATCAATGAGACAGAAAATTAACAAGGATATCCTGGACTTGAACTCAGATCCGGAACAAGTAAACTTAATAAACATTTATAGAACTCTCCACTTTAAACACACAAGATGTGCACTCTTATCAGTACCACATCACACCTACTCACAGGTTAAGACGAAATATTGGTTGGCCATTATTAAGCACAATTGGTGGTATAAGGGAGGTTTTCAATACCCACTTTTAGACTGCATTCTAGCCTGGGCAATTAAGCAACACTCCTGTTCTCTCTCCCTCCTCCTCTTCCTCTTTTTTCCTCCTCTTCTTCATTCCTTTTTCTTTCTTTCGTTCTCTCTTAAAAAAAAAAAACTTTTTTAGGAGGGCTGATCCTGAAGGCACCTTCTGCTTATCACATACCCAAATTCCAGACTCCCAGAAGGAAACAGACATTAACCAGAAATCACACTGTTTGGACAAACAGCCCAGGTGTGGGTAGCTGCCCTTATTGTTAGGACATGACCTGAGTCCCAGAGCTAGCATCCCAGATGCCAGCCAAGGGCCAAACTTGCAAGTAGGCCCTTCTAAGTCGGCAGCCTCAAATCTGCTATGTTAACTCTTCTTCACACAATTGCTAAGCCAGGAAGTGGATTGGCCCAGATCATACCTAGGAGGTTGTATTTGCCTCATCTTGCCTTATCCTTCTTGGTTATGAAACTGGGTTATAGAACATAGCCCAACTCAGCACAGTATGGCTTTTTAAAGCCTCTTGTCATTGCAACGGAGTCCTACCATAGCTGTTCATTTCATGAGAGACCAGCTCAGGTCCCTTGTGGAGGATGAAGGAGTGGGGGTTTTCTTTGAACTCCTGTCTGCCTCTGAGAGACAGCAGACCCTGAGCCCAGATGATCCGTAGTTTCAGCCCCACTTACTACTTGTGTTCTAGTTTATTTTCTCCTCAACAAAGATATGACTATGTAATGTATTTTCAATTTTCTTTTTAAAAATGTTATTTATCATTGCTATTTGTTTGGAACAACGTATGGTGGGGAAAGGAGGCTTAGACTGCAAACTTATAATGCCATCTTAGTCAGAAGGGGCTCTTTCACTTTTTTACACATCACTGCAACTTTTTCCAGGATCCAGGGCTGAGCCGGTGGGGCTTGTCTGGCCTGGAGGATAACTTTAGTGATACGGTGCTTTATTCAACATTGCTTTTCAGCTGTGTTTCTGTCCTATTGTCCTTGTGTCTCTTGACTCTCTTCCTTTAGGACTAATTATGGCTCATGTGACTCATTAGTGGGCCTGCCTTGCACTGTTGTTTCTGAGGGGGAACCTCGGCTTAGGTGCTCAAGCCAAGATTCCTCTACTACTCAAGGATTTTGGTTGAAACATATGACACAGAATGAAACAACAAAATCAGAGTTTGGGCAGCCTACCATTTTCCAAAAGCCTACCTATTCACTGTGGGGAAAGGCAAGTAGCTAACCTATAAGGCAACTCCTATATCCCATGACCTATGCATTATATTTCTTTAATGAAAGAATTTTTACTTTTTACCATTTCGACAGACTACATTGCTTCATATTATTGTTACGAATCCATGTTTCTCATTTTTGTTTTTGTTTTCATTTTTGGTTAAGAAAGGCTGCAAAGCAAGGTGTATGGGAGCAGCTTGTGTTTAAACTCCAATTCAAGTTCGGGGTGAAAATTATTTCCTGTGTGTATATCTTCAGAAACATGCTTCAGTCTGACAAGATGATTTTGAACTTTGGTTCTGGCATCTTTGTGTCATCTGAAATTCTGCCAGGTTTGCCAGTCTTAGGTGTCAAATTGATTTGAAATTGCTAGCATATGTAAATAACACAACTAAATCCATGCGATTTGCCTCAAATATTTTCTTTAAAATATAGAAATATCATTGGTGATCCTTGGTCTTATATTCTGTTTAAAACGTATCTTAAAAGTTTGAAATCTTAAAAAGAAGTGGTTCCTGCCACTTCTTTGTGTTTTAACCATAGCTCCATTCACTTTCAGGGCATGAGCACACCTCTGACTTTTTAGATGCACAAACATTATAATATTCAAAATTATGAATATGTATTTTTCAATAGTACTAATCCATGAAAAATGGGATTATAATATGCTGTTTATTTAATCCTCCAAAAGTGAGTAAAATTTGTCTAGTCCAGACTTTTGCTGGGAGTTGGCTGTAAGAATTAGGTTTACTAAAAACACAAGGTGGTAATAGAAATTACCCTCTTAAGCTAAAATAGACAAATGGCATCTAATTAAACTAAAGATCTTCTGCACAGCGAAAGAAAATATCATCAGAGTGAACAGGCAACCTATAGAATGAGAGAAAATTTTTGCACTCTACCCATCTGACAAAGGTCTAATATACAGAATCTATAAGGAATGTAAACAAATTTACAAGAAAAAAACAACCCCGGCCTCCCTCCCTCCTGGCCTTCCCTTCCCCCACTTCGCAGACCTCTCTTCCCACAGTGCCTCCCTCCTTCTCCTCTCCACCCCCTCCGGGCTCCCGCTCTCCCTGAAGGCTACGACTGTGAGTGGAGCCACTGGCCCCACCGGGATCCCCGCGCCTTCTGCCGCCGTGTCCACGTCCTCCTGGTGCCCCTGCCCGGTGCCGCGAGCCTACTCCGGGCTTGGCCTGACTCCGCACGGTGCAGCGCAGGCCGCGGGACAAGCCCGACTTAAATCTTTGCAATGGCTGACGAAGCTTATCCTTGTCCCTGTGACATTGGCCACAGACTTGAGTATGGAGGGATGGGCCATGAAGTTCAAGTCGAGCACATCAAGGCATATGTCACCAAATCCCCTGTTGATGGAGGCAAAGCTGTTATTGTCATTCAAGATATATTTGGCTGGCAGTCGCCTAATATCAGATATATGGCTGACATGATCTCAGGAAATGGTTACACAACCATTGTTCCAGACTTCTTTGTAGGGCAAGAGCCTTGGGACCCCTCTGATGACTGGTCCATCTTCCCTGAGTGGCTGAAAATGAGAAATGCCTGGAAGATCATTAGAGAAATCGATGCTGTTTTGAAGTATCTGAAACAATGTCATGCCCAGAAAATTGGCGTGTGGGTTCTGCTGGGGTGGAACTGCTGTCCATCACTTGATGATGAAATACTCAGAATTCAGGACAGGGTTTCTGTCTACGGCATCCTCAAGGATTCTGAAGACATTTACAATTTAAAGAACACCACCTTGTTCATTTTTGCTGAAAATGATGCTGTGATTCCACTCAAGAACGTATCATTGCTGACCCAGAAGCTGAAAGAACACTGCAAAGTTGAATATCAAATTAAGACATTTTCTGGGCAGACTCACGGGTTCGTGCATCGGAAGAGAGAAGACTGTTCACCTGCAGACATGCCCTACATTGACGAGGCCAGAAGGAATTTAATCGAGTGGCCGAACAAGTACATGTAGCAAGAATCGAGGGCAAGCACTCCCAGAAGAGCTTTCATCCCAAACTTTGCTTGGAAATACTTAGATCAATCGATTTAATTTTCATCTTTATAAAATAAATGTAGGAATCCTAAAATTCATTATGTCATTTGAAACACAAGTTCATTAGGAAATAATGCATGAAATAATTTAATTTTTAACATGTACATCAAATCAAAATTTAAAACCAAGGTCTGGCTGGGCGCGGTGGCTCATGCCTGTAATCCCAACACTTTGGGAGGCCAAAGCAGGTGGATTACCTGAGGTTAGGAGTTTGATACCAGCCTGGCTAACATACTGAGACTCCCTCATCTCTACAAAAAAAAAAAAATGCCAAAATTAGCCTGGTGTGGTGGTGCACTCCTGTAGTCCCAGCTACTTGGGAGGCTGAGGCACAAGAATCAATAGAACACAGGAGGTAGAGACTGCAGTGAGCTGAGATTGTGCCGCCACCGCACTCCAGCCTGGGCGACAGAGTGACCCTGTCTCAAAAGTAAATGAATAAATAAAAATGAAAAATAAAAACCAGGACAGTTACCTGGAGAATTTGAATGATAAAGTAATACCATAATTATTAGTTAAAACCTACAGGTTGGGTGTGGTGGCTCACGCCTGTAATCCTAGCAGTTTGGGAGGCTGAGGCGGGTGGATCACTTGAGGTCAGGAGTTTGAGACCAGCCTGGCCAACATGGTGAAACCCTGTCTCTACTAAAAGTACAAAAGTTAGCCAAGTGTGGTGGTGTGCACCTGTGGTCCTGACTACTCAGGAGGCTGAGGCAGGGGAATCACTCAAACCTGGGAGGAGGAGGTTGCAGTGGGTGGAGATTGTGCCACTGCACTCCAGCCTGGGCAACAGAGGGAGACTGTATCTCAAACAAGACAAAACAAAAACATACACAAAACACAAAACCTACAGCTGTTCAAGGACCAGCTGACAGGTCAAGTGTGGGCTTTTCTGGTCTTTGAACACATCGTATAAAATGACAAATGCTGCAAAGCCATGAAGAACGTGAACTGTAAACTAGGGTAGGCTAACTGCCCAACCTAGGTGCTTATCATGTCATAAGACAGGTGGATTTGTCACATTTAGAGATTGCAATATGGGAAGTATTGAGATCAAAACAGGATTCCATTGACCTCATTGTATTAAACTAATAAACTAATTTTTCGGAAAAAAAAAAAAAAAAACAACCCCATCTAAAAGTGAGCAAAATATATGACTAGAAACTTCTCAAAAGAAGACATTTATGTGGCCAACAAACATATGAAAAAAAAAAAAAAAAGCTCATCATCACTGGTCATTAGAGAAATGCAAAACAAAACCATAATGAGGTACCATCTCACGCCAGTTAGAATGGCGATCATTAAAAAACCAGAAAACAACAGATGCTGGAGAGGATATAGAGAAATGGGAACACTTTTACACTGTTGGTGGGAGTGTAAATTAGTTCAACCACTGTGGAAGACAGTGTGGTGATTCCCAAAGGATCTAGAACCAGAAAAACCATTTGACTCAGTAATCCCATTACTGGGTATATACCCAAAGGATTGTAAATCATTCTACTATAAAGATACATGCACTCATATGTTTATTGCAGCACTGTTCACAATAGCAAAGACTTGGAACCAACCCAAATGCTCATCAATGATAGACTGATAAAGAAAATATGTCCTATGTATACCATGGAATACCATGCAGCCATAAAAAACAATAAGTTCATGTTCTTTGCAGGGACATGGATGAAGCTAGAAGCCATCATTCTCAGCAAACTAACACAGGAACAGAAAACCAAACACTGCATGTTCTCACTCATAAGTGGGAGTTGAACAATGAGAACACATGGACACAGGGAGGGGAACATCACACACTGGGGGCCCATCGGGGGTGGGGGGCAAGGAGAGGGAGAACATTAGGACAAATACCTAATGCATGTGGGGCTTAAAACCTAGATGATGATTTGATACGTGCAGCAAACCACCGTGGCACATGTACACCTATGTAACAAACCTGCACATTCTGCACATGTATCTCAAAACTTAAAACAAAAAAATTAATTAAAAAAAGGAATTACCCCTCTTTTCCTTCTTCTAGTGCTTTGGTGTGTCCTTATCCTCTGTAATTCTTATTTAGCTAAATTATAGGTTAATACATTTAAATTTTTTCAAATCAAGAGAAATATGAGATAGCTATGAGTGTTTTCCTATGAGTAGGTCCCCTCTGGGGTAGCAGCATCTGAGGAGCCTTCAGGATTGTGGATGCTGCTCTGGGCTGATTAGGGGAACTGGTCAGGGAGAGCCCTGGGTACCAAGATGTCTATCCTCAACCCGGACTCTAGGGAACCGTGCATAATACTGCAGCTAATGCCTCTGGACCTCAAGGAATGACTTGGCTAATTTGAATGTCAGTTATGAGTAGAGATTTTCCTAGCCATTCTGGGTACCACAAAATGTCCTGGATTCTGTTTAGGGCCTGAGACGGGAGGAGATCTCAACACTGACCAAGAATTTACCTGCAGTCTGGGAAGATGTGTCCCTGGGGTCTGAATCAAGTATCTGTAAAGGAAACAAAATAATATTTATCACACACCTGTTTGTGGACAATGGCACATACCCAGCAAACTTGGTCATCTCTTGGATTATTGATTTGCTAAAAAGGGGAGAACCTGCAAATAAAATTTACTACAGGAGCGGTTAGGAAAAAAGCCAACATGAATTACATGATCCCTGCGTACTAGGCTTGATGTATTTCATTTATTTCATTTGCAGAGGCCAGTTCATTTAGTCATTGTCCTCATATTGCAGCTGAGGAAGCAACGTAGATCAATCAGGGTTATCCAGAGAAATAGAACCTATATACATATATATATATGCACATATATATGTAAACATCCACACACACACATATATATAAACATATATATATCTAATAAAGATGTTTATTATAAGAAATTGGTTCATGCAGTTATGAAGGCAGCAAAGACCTAGAGTCTAAAGTCAGTAAGCTGGAGACCCAGAAGAACCAATGGTTCTGGAACTTAGTTCCAGCTCAAATCTGAAAGCCTGGGAACCAGGAGAGCCCACGGTGTAAGTTTGAGACTGAAAGGAAAAGGCCATTATTTTAGCTAAAGCAGTCAGGCAGAAGAAGTTTCATCTTACTCAGCCCTTTTGTTTAGGTCTTCAGTTGATTAGATGAGGCCCACCATACTAAGGAGGGCAATCTGTTTTACTCTTGTTACCAATTCAAATGTTAATCTCATCCATCAATAGTCTCACAAACATACCCCAAATAATGTTTCACCAAATATTTGGGTATCCAATAGTCCAGATGAGCTGACATGTAAAAACTTAAATAAGGTAAGAATTGATTAGTTATTTAGCATATCTCATAAGTGATAGAACAAGAATAAAATCTCAAAACTGAGCATTCCAAAGCTTCTATGTGAAATGTGTATATTCCCTGCCTGGTACTTGGTAATTATTTAGGCCACTTTAATGTCAGTAAGCAATTTGCAGTTGTCATTGTCTCATCTTCTTTTCTGCCTTATGTCTCCAAATTAGAGAGACTGACACTGACTACATGTGGTTAGGAAAGTCTTCTGCTATGATAATCACCCAGGCAAAGCAGCTACCCCAGCGAATGCATTTTAGCTAACCCTCAGCCCTTTCCTTTCATTCCTTATTGATCCATAACAGGCCACCAGGACAAACTCTGCTTACAGACATATAATGTAGAGTCTCTAAGGTTGGGCTGTGACACCAGGTCAGATGATTTCAGCTGAACTGTAGCCCATGTGAGAATAGGAAAGTGAAACTTTGCTGTGTTTTACAGCAGATAATTTCAATAGGAAGTCCCTTTCAGAAGAGGAGAAGGCAAGAGGAGGTAGGAAAGTATAGCAGCCACGTTTTCATTTCTTTCCAAAGTGAATGAGCTTGCCACTCCCATGACAACCATTTAAATTATGTGGCTGAAGTGTTTTTCTTGAAAGGCATAAGCTTCAAGTTCAGGTGACAGGACTGGTGATGGGCTATCCCTCCACCCCATTCCCACACCCTACACAAACGTCTGTTCAAAGCCCAGAAGACTGATGTGCTGGCTGATGCATCAATAATATGGGCCCTTCGTGTAACTGGGGGAAGGTGTAGCACACAGTTTTTGAATTTACTTTTTGAAGACAAAAGAAAAGGTAACAAGGTAGAGTGTACCTAATGAAATGGTAAAACCTACTGCTGAAAGCTGGTTTTAAATAGGGTTGGAAAGCTTGACTTGTTTGAGGGACTAAAATCTTCTTCTCTTTTCTCATCATCTAGGGCTTATCCAAACTTGCCCTTTCAGATGCAAAGAAATAACCTTTTCTTCCACATGAAACAGTCGATCACTTGAATCCCTTTCCCCATAGTGACAGAGATTTTCAAAAATCACACTCGATGCTGGCATTATTGCTGCTACTATTGCTGCCAGCCCCTAATCCTTGAGGCATGGAGAAGTTTCTTTGCTTGCATTTATGTTGCTGGCCTCCTGGAAAGAAAAGGAATTTGTATCCTCCTGATCTGGAGGCTCTGGAAAATTAAATGGGGGAAAATAAAACATCAGGAATTAGAGAGGAGTCCTGTCATGGTACAACTCACCATGGTATGCATTTGAATATACTGCAGGCTAATTCACTTTCTGGAAACACAAGTACAGACAAAGATGTTCCGGCACAATCCTTTACCCTACACTAAAGTTATAAAGGGGATCCTTTGATCGATTCATTTCTAAAAATTATTTAAAACCATGTTAGTGAAGAAAAGCAAGAATATTCAGATAAGCAGGAAAGAACATAAAAATAACAAATCTCTCACATAGAAGTAACCTTTGTATATATTTTAGAATATAGATTTTAAGACGTTTTTATTTTTATAAACAGACATATTCACACACTAATACATGTCATAAAAGTTTAATCATTGTATGCATTCCGTTTTAAAATTTGCTGTTTTGGTTATTACTTAAAAATTTCTATCTTAATATACTGCAAGTCATCTCTTAAGACAGTGGCCACTATCGCACCATTGCACATTATATGCAAATGCATACATATGCCGTATATTTTTTATATGGTGCCTAATTGTTGAGCATCTTTTAAAAAAATTTTTTTTCTTTAATGTAAAAATCTTATAACAACATCATTTAAAAATGCTTACCTTGTGTTTGTTTAAATGTTTTATCTGGAGAAATTCCTAGAATTCATTACATTTTGAAAATACTTGCTCAGTCTTGAAACAATAAAGTATATATCAGTTATCTATTACTGCATAACAAACTCCCCACAATTCACTGGCTTAAGCCAACAAAAATCATTTATTTTGCCATAAAACTGCAATATGGTTAGGGTTCAGGTAGTCTCTTCTCAGGCTTATCTCTACGTTTTGTGGTGTCGGTTGAGTAAGTTAACCCAGGAAAAAGAGGATTTACTTTTAAGATGACTCAGTTACCAATTGATGCTGATTGTTAGCTAGGAATTCAGCTAGTGCTATGGATCAGGGTCCTCAGTTCCTTCCACACAAGTCTCTCCATGGACTGCTTGAGCTTCTTCAGAACATGGTGGCTGGGTTTCCAATAGTAGTATCCTCAGAGAACAAGGCAGAAATGTATTACATTTTTATAACCTACTCTGGAAAGTACTAAAGAATGTCTTTATTGTATTTCATTGGTTGAAGCGGTCACAAAGACCTGCCTAAGTTCAAGAGGAGGGGGCATAGACATGACCTCTTGATGGAGAAGTGGTGATGTTTCAGAAGAGCAGGTGCAGTGGGAGATATGCTGCCATCTTTGGAAAATGCAATTTGCCATAAAGCATAGTAAAAATAAGATGATTTAGGATTCACAATTTTGAATTTTCAGATGAATCACATGCCTTTGTGTCCATTCTCATGCTGCTATGAAGAAATACCCAAGACTGGGTAATTTATAAAGGAAAGAGGTTTAACTGACTCACAATTCTACATGGGGGAGGAGGCCTCAGGAAACTTACAATCATGGCAGAAGGGGAAGCAAACACATCCTTCTTCACATGGCAGCAAGAAAGAGAAGAATGAGAGCCAAGCATAGGGGGACGCTGCTTTTTTTTTTTTTCAGATCGAGTTTTGCTCTTGTTACCCAGCCTGGAGTGCAATGGTGCGATCTTGGCTCACCGCAACCTCTGCCTCCTGGGTTCAGGCAATTCTCCTGCCTCAGCCTCCTGAGTAGCTGGGATTACAGGCATGTGCCACCATGCCCAGCTAATTTTTTGTGTGTTTTTAGTAGAG